ATATATCCTCGATGCATAATTATTAAAAAGAATGATATTTGTTTTTTTCCCTTGAACTGTGTGTAGTTGGACAAATATGTGTTGTGCGAGATCTATATAAACACTAAAGCTAAGAACGTCAATAAACGAAGCAAGAGAGAAAACGATAGTGAAGATTTGCCAACAGATGATGATGAGTCTATGAATTCTCCCAACAATGACAGCATTATTCAAGATACTGATTCGACAGAACTCAGTAGCTACAGTTCAATCTTGTCCGATATCAACATGTATCCTTATGAAGCAATAATGGAGCATGAAAATTCTATTGGTTTTACTCCTAATATCTTGGCATCAAGTAATTATGATCAACCCCCGATCCTGCGCGAACGCGAAATGCTCTATGCACGGGACTGTCCAAGTAATTATGATCAAATATCAAATTTTGGTGATGGCAATTTTCATGGCTTTCAGGGTTTTGATGAGCTTGGTGCAGTGATAAAACATTTGTTTCCAGAGATGAAAAATGAAAAGAGCATATAGTGTTACTTCTTTCTCTAGGCTGATTAACATACTTTTCGTAGCACATGTTATTAACTAATAGTGATAAAACATTAGTATTGGTATTCTTTTGCTTCGATTTCCTTAAAATCTTATTTCACTATTGTCACTATTTGCTGTTACTGTTTTCTTTTTCATCTTTTCTTGAACCGGGAGTCTATCGGATACAATCACTCTACCTTCGCAGGTTAAAGGTAAGGTCTACGTACATACTATCCTCCCTACTTGTGGGATTATAATGGATTTATTGTTGTTGTTTAAAAAAGTACTAGAACTTTAGCCACAATAAGGCCAAGAGTGGGGTATACTATTTTCTCTTCTTTCTTTTTTTTTTTGTTTTAGAAGGCTGCGTATAACAGATTTTTATGGTCCGATCCTTCTCCGGACTCTGCGAGTAGCAGGAACTTAGTGCACCAGACTGCTCTTTTTTTATTTTGAAAGTGAACTTCATACTCGTATGTCTAAAGTTTGCCTATTACTATTAATTTTTTACGATATGATTTTAGGTCTGAATTTCTCATTCCCAAAAAGCTAAGTGAATTTCAGACCCACAGAGCTGAAAGCTTAAACTACTACTGTTAATGTTATGCAATCAGATCTCAGGTCTGGAATCTCGTATCTGAAAAGTGAACTTCAGACTCAGAACTACTATGAATTTTGGCTACCAGTTGCTATATTATTTTGGGCTACATTTGCAAAACAAATTCTTGGCTAGAGAGGCGCAATTGGGTGTAAAGAGTTGTACATTTGTGTCATCTTTTTTATAATAGAAAGTTGATGGGCTTACAGTTTTTTTGCTGATGGGCCTTCCTCGGCCCAAGACATTGTTTCGGGCTCAAAACTTTAGTCTAATCTTGTACTTAAATGGGCCTCAAGCCCAAATATATTTTTTGATGCAATATACTTTCAATAATGTTGTTCACATATTTAATTTTGATGCTTTTCGTTTTGAAGAGTTAACCCAAAAATTCGTCCACCTAATCTCTTAAATTAAAAATAGCAGGCAAATGTGGAAAATATGTAATTCATGTATAATATATGTATAGTCGATGTATAATCTATGTATACCGACTAGAAAAGTAAAGAATGAATTTGGCCGGCTATTCGTGTGACAATCCCTTTAGTTTTTCTTTTTTCCTTTTTTGTTCATTTGGTGAATCCATTTACTAGTAAATATATAGCAATAAAAACAATAAAAAAATCTAGGATATTCTTCTCTATTTTGAAATAATGCTAGACTATAAAGTTTCTTGAGTAAACAACCTCACAACCCACAAGAAATTTAATGGCTTATATTAAAGAATAAGCTTAGCAAATCAAAAACTTAGCTATGCACTCAAATGTGAACTTTACCAATTTTAAATTCACATAGAAAAAGGAAAAAGCATTTGTGGAAAATTTCAACTATGTCAATTCCATCATAGTGAGAAAAATTGACCAAAAAAAAAGTTTTAATGGAAAAAGGTAGAAAACCAAATAGAACAGAGTGATTTTATTTTGTGTCTCACACTAGTTGTGTGATGCCTCTTTTTATCTCACATATTTGTGGACCCATATTTTACACATCTGGATCCACAAAATTCTGGGACCCACACAGTTGTGAGACAAAAAAGAGGCCACATACAACTGGTGTCAGTTGTGTGAGGCACAAAATAAAAAATTTCGTCTGGTAGAAAAAATAGGAGATTTTTTGTTCTTCTCCTTTTGGTTTTTTTAGGGGTGGGGACCCTAGCTAGGTTTGCTACATTGCATGATACAAGAGTCATGATTCATGTCTAATAAAGCGAGCTCAATCTCAATCAATACTAGATCCCACGGTCAAATCCCATTTGCTTTATGAGAAAACTCTTTAATTTTTTTGTTTGTGTTTTTCTTCTTTTTTTTTTTAAGTGAGGTGAGGTTGGAGGTTTTAAGTCGAGGTTCTATTGAAAATAGCTCTCTATCCCCACAATGTAATGGTAAAATCTGTACACATATTATCTTTGTCAGACCTCACACTATAAATTACATTGGATTGTTGTCAGACCTTATACTGTAAAATTACACTGGTAAAATCTGCACACATATTATCGGTCAATGAAGTGGTTAATATAATGAAAGGTCAGATTCCAAATCCGAGCAAAAATAACTGATACTAAGTGATTTCTTTTGATTTGTCTACGTTATCCGTTATTTGTGCTGATGGAAGATAGTAAATATTCGATAAAAAAGTTAAAGTATACACAAGTTGGTCCGAATACTACCGTTATTAAAAAAGGACAAAAGTGGCCACATATACCTTAACTACTGCACATGTTAATTGGTGGGAAGAATTGAGAGTGGAGTCATGTCTTTAGTCCTTTTTGTCTTTGAAAAAGTATAGTAAAAAGAGTGAGGGCAGGGTATAAAAACTTAGAACATGGGATTTGGTTGTTCTAGTCTATTGTTTGTTCTTGTGTAGTACAAACTTAGTAATCTTTTGTTACTTGTTGTTTCTCCTTAGTTTGTTGTGGGACATGAATATGAAATTGGATTAACATTTATCTCAAAAAATAGATTATAAGACTACTCCCTATTTAAAAAGAAATGGTTTACTATATCGTGACGTTAAGCAACTCATCTCATATTTGCCCTTGTTATTAATGGAACCTTATCGTGAAATCATTAGACTTCATGTGTCCAATGAAGTCCAAAATTAAGTGTTTAAGCAAAAAGTTCAGATTTATTCTTCAATATTTGATTATAATTTAAAATTACCATTATGTTGGAGTTTTATAAGGGGCCAAGGGAAAGATTAAATTTTTTTTAATCTATTTGTGATAGTAATATTAGACCAAAAATTTAACGACAGGTAAAATTAAGTAATTTCGGATAGTACATGAATAAATTTTACCTTTTTCTCTCTTAAAATGAAAAACCCAGACCCCACCTGGTGGGATTTTACTGGGTAGTTGTTGTTGTTGTCCCTTAAAATGAAAAGATGAATTGACATACCTTCGAATTGGTGCTCTTCTGATTAAAGTACAATAGCAATTTAATTATAAAAAATTAATCTACACATTAATCTAATACTTAATATCTTAGGAAACTTGTAAAATTGGATTAGCATATTGGTGCTGATCTTTAACCTAACAAGAGGGGCTAATTAATCAAAAGTTCCGGCGTTTAAAAGCTGAATGATTGAGTTGTAGTATTGACCAATGTTTTAAAAGGCGGGGCGTGAGGCGAGGCGTTTTACCTCTGACGAGGCGAGGCGTAAGTCCTGAGACATGGGGCGTAAGTCCCACGGATCTTTAAATTTTACTGATTTTTAAGATAGCTATAAAATAAAAAATAATTATAAAAATTACATTAATCAAAAATTATAACAATTAATCTATTTAAAAATATTTATAAATTATAACTCAACTATGAATAATACGAAAAGTATGACATATATCATAATATGCAAATTAGCTGCAATGTCGTTGCAACTCAAACATCAAAAGCAATGTATTCGATACGAAATCTTAATATGTATCTCCTAATTTGAAAGTATTTCGATATTATAATTGGGATATTTTTCTTAAAATGCTCCTTTTATTTAATATGCTTTCTATTGAAAGAGATTTATATAAAAATATAATTCATAATTTAAATATGATTCTCTAGCATCATTTTTTTAAGTTTCAACAAGTTAATAAGCGACACATATTTATCATACATAACATGATAACTAATTATTTGTAAATAGTTACTAGCTAATACCGAGCTATTAAAATAATAAGCATTGTCTTTGTAAACGTGAAAACAAATATTTTAGAAAAATAATTATTAAAAAATTATGGACTATTATATAGTAAAGACATAACAAAAGTTGATAAATAAATACCTTTTAAATGAAAGATTTATTAAAAATTAACTATCATAGCAGTCTTAGTGGATAACGTGCCATAATTTTTATTTTAATTATGACATAAAATACTCTCAACTTAATGATTTATGATTAAGAAAAATGTAATTTTGAATAGTAACTGATTTATTAAGCAAATTTGAGAATTTACAAGGTTAGTTGCATAGAATTGCATAAAGTTCTATTAGGCGAGCCTAGTACGCTAGGCGTAGGGCGTGTCCGGGGCGTAAGCCCCGATGGCCAAGGCGTAAGTCTCACGGAACTAAGCCCCACACATAAGTCCAGGGGCGTTTTACGAGTGCTCCGCCCCGGGGCGAGCCCCGGGCGAGTCCCAATTCTGCCTTTTAAAACAGAGGTATTGACTAATTTTTGTCTAACTTATATATACTTATATATAAGGAAAATGTATATAGTATTTAATTAATTAATATCCAAAGGGTATGCAATAAAAGCTGTTATGAAATGATTAAAGTCTGTTGACAATGATAAAAGAGATATCATCATTGTCATATGCAAAGTGCCAATTCCATGATTTCTGCAAATTTTCTGCTGAATGGATTTTAAATTCTTTTTCTTTTCTACTTTTTTTTTTCTTTCCAAACCTCATGATTATAAAAAGTTGCAAAACAAATGTGATATACTTTTTTTTTGTGTAACCATTCTGAGTTAGTACTCACTGGACTGACTGATTAATTCAGATTTGCGTCGTGTAAGACCTATTAAAGATAAAAATGTTTCGTATTATATATTTTTAATTTAAAATTAAAATCCGAAACTTTTTAATTAAGTGTAGAGGAATATACAGTGTTTATTTTACTTCATTTCTATTTTATTTTTTGTGAGAGAGGGGGGGACCCTGCTTGTCTGTGAGAATATTATTTATGTGTCCCACAAACCTCTTTTTCCTAATTTGTAGGTCCATACACATTGTGAAATAATTCAATTCACCTTCAAATTCAAATGTGTGAATGGAAATTCAGTCCTTCAATCATACATGTACAAAGTCATGGAAAAAAAAAACGATAGTGAAGAAGCCAAGAAATAATAACACCAGCAAGAAAAGTATGTGATTATCAAAAGTTTTTTACCAACAAAAGTTGTAGTGGAGTGATTAATACTCTTATATTCTTAACCAGCAATTTCAGGTTCGAGTCTTGGATATAAAATCGTCTTCGAAACAGAATATTTTACCTCCAAAATGGAATTCTCTGATAAAGTGAATTTAAATAGTCGGACCTCAATGTGAATTTCGAATACTTTGGTGGAAAACACATAGTAAAATAAATAAATAAATAAATAAGAAGACAAGCATTGAACTATCAATTACCACATCAGCTTTAGGTGTATCTACTTCAAGAATTATTGTACTGTCTCTGATCTATTCTGACCAACCGGCAAAGTGTCAATTAGAATTCCCCTTTCACAAACTCTTCCCCCCACCAATCCAACCCAGCCCCTACCCCTTGGAAATATTGAGGCCTCAATTGTTTTTTTTAAGATTAAGACGTATGAATCTGGATACACATCTAAATATCAAGATGTGTATTAAGATTAAGACATCTGAATCTAAATACACATCTGAATATATTTAGATGTGTATTAAGTTCTGAACAGAAATAATTAAGACTGTTTGATTTTTAACATCTGAATGTATCAAAATTTATCTTTATTTGAAAATTAATAAACGTAAAATTTAAATGAAATACTAACTAATCTAATATTTTATTAATAAAAATGTATAGTTTTTAAAAATATGATAGTTGTTGGTGGTGATGGCTAACGGGTGAATGCCAACTAGAGGCGATGGTTGGTGGTAGTTTTGGTTGATGATGATGGTTCATGCTAGTAGCTAGTAGTGATTGGTAGTGGTGGCGATTATGATTGAGGATGGTGGTGGTGGGTGGTGATAGTTAATAATATCGGGTGGTGGTAGTAGTTATGATTGAGGAAGGTGGTGGGTGGGTGGTGGTAGGTTATAATGATAGGCAGTGTCCGATGTGGTTGTTGATGGTGATGGGGTGGTCAGTTGTGGTAGTTGAGGCGGATGAGTGTTGATTGTGGGTCAGAATGATGGTGGTCGGAGTGGTGGGGATGGTCGATAATGGAGGCTATGATTGAGGATGATTGTGTCATGGTGGTAGTGGTGGTGGTTGGTGGTAGTGGTGGTTGAGTATGTTGGTGGTGGCGGCATGATGGTAGTTGATAATGGTAGGCGGTGGCGGCAATTAATAATGAATATGTGATAGCATCTTAATGAAATTAAGTCTCTGTTATAGATCTTAATCATACAGACCTATTCAGACCCATTAAGTGGTTGTGAAGTAAAAAAAAAACAAACACACGTAATGATTAAGATCTGAATAATTAAGATTCAGACTTTAAAAACAAATGCACTTAATGTCTGAGATCTGAATGATTAAGATTCAGACCTCCATTAAGTGCAAACAAATGAGGCCTGAATCTAATACAAGTACTATAGTCTATAGTAATACTAGCATATGATGTTTGAAAAATCTAAAAATGTTTAAAAAATCTGTATATCCATATTATGTTGGTTTGGTCCAAGTATTTCATACAATAGAGAATATTGTGCGCCCAGTGCACAAAAAGTATTTCGCGTTCACGCAATATTAGAGAAGGGTTGCATCCTGTATAGGTCAAAATCTGACCGTCAAATGGTTATTATTAAAGGAAACGATAAGAGGTCGGCCAAGCCATGGTCGTGCCCACGAGGCGTAATGGTGAAGAGTATCTCGGCTGCTGCCGAGATCAGGCCATCAAAAGGCTTACACGACATAACGTAACACATGGGCGGGTAAGGAAGGAGTACGGCCATGAGAGGGCACGCTGGCTAAGAACCATTGGGTAAAAGGGGAAATTGACTATATATGTAAGGAAGGCCAAGCAAAAGAAAGGGGGAGACTAGAAAAAAAAAAGGAAGAAAGACAGAGAAGACAGAGAAGAGATCTCCAGGGGCAAGAAGAAGAAGCTCACGTTCTGGATTGCAAACCTGTGCAATCCCCTTCGTTAATCAACAAAGCTAGATCTCGTAGTCATCAACAAGAATCATACTTTATCCTCTTTATTTCTACAAATACGAAACAATATGTTAAAGTTGTAAGCTTATCATTTACTTTTAGTATCTTCCATTCAATCTGAGATTTGTTATATAAATTCAATCCTTTGGATTTCAACGCTCATGGTGCTTAGATCTAGAGTAGATTATATTTGTCTAAGATTTACTCTCTTTTCATCATTAATTGGTTTAATCAAAGGAGCTTAACACTTTTTGATCAAACAATTTGGCGTCGTCTGTGGGGATTTCTTAGCCAAATTTTTTAGTTTCCTTTAGATCTAGAACCAGTCAAGTATTACTTGTTGGAATTTGGACTTACGTTAATTGGTTATAGCCTGAAAGGATAGTGACGTGGCCCAAGTGGTGGATAAATAAAAGGCCTAATATTAAATATTGTGTGTGGATAAGTGAGGCCCAATAACTATTGGCCTGTGATGGGTAGACACTCTTTATAAATAGAGGCCAACCCCCCTTTCCCTAGCTATCAAGAAAACCGTAGCGTATTCTGCCTCTTGAATACGTGGTAAAGGTAGACGTCCCATCAGTCAAGTTCTTCGGGCTGTGAGAGCGCGTAGCTAGTGGATTGTGGAAGTTGGTCTCACGCTTAATCGTCATGGAGTTTAACGGTACGCTTCTTTAGACTCTGACTCTAGATTGATTGTGTAATTGTGTCTTAATCTCTGCTATGGCTACGAATTAATTATATTACAGTTGGTATCAGAGCCACCATAATCAGGGAGGGATTAAGATCAATGAATTAATCTTGAGTTTCCTAGTACATAGTCTGTTATCCATTTTCAGACGAGGGTGGAAAAAGTTATGAATATCTAGTGTGAATTAGACAACTGCTCCAGCTTGACTATTTAAAGAAAAAAAAAAGATCTTGTACATTCTGATCTTTTCAACAACGGCAGAAATGATAACTGTGTAAAGCAGGAGTTAATGCACTAGGTTCCTTTTGTTGAAAATCTGTCTTATAAAAAAATAAAAATAAAAGGAAGGCTTAAATCGCTGTTTTTGGTTTGTGGATTACGGCGACGGCGCGTCGTTTGAGTTTTCCGCTAGCGATTGGCTCGTGTTAGATGTATTTGTTTGAATCAGTTTATGCTTCTTTTCTTTTTACTGATCATGCCTTCTTAGTTAGTTTATTTTAATAAATTAATATAATCCACATACAACTTGGAAATTAAGTGGTGTGGCATTATTGTGAAACTAGTTTTGCTAGGAAGCAGTGAACCTTTATGTTCAAAGAGCTAATGGACGTTGTTGGTTTGGTGTCAAATTTGTCTAGTTGGTTTAATGCTTGACGTAATTACAGTATTGAGCTTCTAGCGATATTATTATTACTTTAGTCAGATTCAAAATTAATATAAGAAGTAAACTGAAAGGTTTAAATTATATGGGTGTTTCATCGCATGTATTAACATGTATAACTAAGAAACTGTGATAATAAATAGTGTCACCAAAGTGGTCTATTTATTTGGAGTCACTGAAAAGTTTTTAATATTATATACATGTGAGATCATTTAATACATGGACTGAGAGTAATGACTAGTAGATAGTTTCCACCAAAGTGGTCTGCTTATTTGAGTCATTGAAAATTCTCAATCCACCATGTCTAAATTGTCCTTTACAAGTGTACATTAGTGTTGGAGGTTTACCTTTTGATACTAGTGACGCTAAATTAATGCTAAGGATAAGTTGTTGTAAGAGGAGGCTTTGTGTCTCTTACCTAAAGGAAGGACACAATGTATGCTTTGTACTCTTGGATAATAAAGGGGAGGTTTGTATCTCTTGCCTAAAGGTGAGGATGCAATTAATGCCTTGGACTTCTTATTTTTCTTTAAAAGGGGAGACAATTGCATCTTCTACCCAAAGGAGGGGTGCAATGGATGTCTTTGACTCTTTTGATTTATATATTCCTGCCCATAATTTTATCTAATTTTGTGTTGTTTGCTTATACAGTTGTTAACAACATGACTACTCAGTTGAATTCCATTGAAACTCTAACTAGTAGCAACTACAAGAAGTGGAAACAAGATGTTGAAATAGTGTTAGGCCTGATGGACCTGGACTTTGCATTTGAACAGAAACCCGCTGAACCCACAACTACTAGCACTGCTGATGAAAAGGCAAAGTATGAGAAATGGATGAAGGCTAACAAATTGAGTCTTACGATCATGAAGAGATCTATTTCCTATCACATAAAAGGTGCAATTAAGGATAATGGGAATGCAAAAGATTTCTTGAGTGCCATTGGACAGAAATTCCTAGAATCTGATAAAGCTGAGATAGGTAGCCTGATTGATTCCCTGTCTACCATAAAGTATGACCTTGTAGGTAGTGTCCGTGATCATATTATGAAATTGGTTAACATTGCTACCAAACTGAACAATTTAGGTGTAACCATTACTGATGATTTTCTTGTTCGCCAATCTCTAAGGTCCCTTCCTGAGCAGTTTAACCAACTTAAGACAACCTATAATGCACAAAAAGATAAGTGGAGTGTTGATGAGCTTATTACTGTTTGTGTGGTAGAGGAAGGGAGGATCCAAAAGGAGAAAGTTGAGGGTGTAGTGAACTTTGTTAGTTCGTCTAGATCAGCTGATTATCCCTCTTATAAAAGAAAAGGTGGACTCAAATTTTACAAAAAGAAACATGGTCATCTTCATCATCCAGGTGGTAATAGTGGTCATACTAATAAGCCTGGTGTTAACCAAAGTCAGTCTCATAATTCTCTTGGTCCTCAAGCTGTAATTAAGAAAGAAATCAAGTGCTGGGATTGCAAACAAGTAAGTCATAAGAAAGCTGGCTTTCCTCTGAAAAAGAAATCAGGTAATCTTTTGGCTTTTGTTTGCTTTGAAACTAGTCTTGTTCATGTTCCTTTAAATTCCTAGTGGTTGGATAGTGGTGCAACTGTTCATGTAACCAATGACTTGCAGGACCTAGTAAGCAAACGGAAGCCAAAAGAGGATGAAGTTAGTGTTGTTGTGGGCAATGGACTCAAAGCAAAAGTAGAATTTATAGGGATATCTATTTTACCTTTTAAGAATAATTCTAGTATTCGTTTAGAAAATACTGTTTTTGTACCGTCTATGAGACGGAAATTAGTTTCGGTTTTCCTTTTGGACAAAGCTGGTTATTCATTTCAACAAAATAATGGTATTATTAAAATTTCCTATGATTCACGTGTTGTTGCTGATGCTTTTTTAAGTGATGGTCTATATCGCTTGAATATATTGAATGAAACTTTTTCTGCAATGCATGTTGAAAATATTTCCCACAAAAGGTCTGCTATGAGTAAAACATCTTACCTATTATAGCATATGCGTCTTGGCCATATTTCTAAAGAAAGAATTGAATGATTGGTAAACGAAAATATTTTACCTGTTCTTGATCCAAAAGATTTTAAAACTTGTGTGGATTGTGTTAAGGGCAAAATGACCAAGGTTAAGAGAAAGGGTTCCACTAGGAGCTCCGAACTCTTGGAAATAGTTCATACTAATATTAGTGGACCTTATGTACCTACTTTGACCAATCATAAGTATTTTATTACCTTTATTGATGATTTTTCAAGGTACTGTTATATATATCTTTTAAAAGAAAAATCTGAAGCACTTGATAAGTTTAAAATTTACAAGACTGAAGTTGAAAAACAGCTTGGGAAGTCCATTAAGATAGTTAGGTCTGACCGTGGTGGTGAGTACAATGGAAAATATGATGAGTCTGGTCAATGTATGGGGCCTTTTGCTTTATTTTTGCAAGAATGTGGGATAGTAGCACAATATACCATGCCAGGTACTCCTGAGCAGAATGGTGTGGCCGAAAGACGAAATCGTACTCTCATGGAATTGGTGAGAAGTATGATGTCAAGAACTAGCCTACCTGAGTCTCTTTGGGGTGAAGCCTTAAAAACAGCTAGCTATATCCTGAATAGAGTTCCTACAAAATCTGTCTTGAAAACTCCCTTTGAACTATGGACAACCCGAAAACCTAGCTTGAACCATTTTCACATTTGGGGATGTCCAGCTGAAGTTCGTATTCATTCACCCAAAGAAAAGAAAATTGATCCTAAAACTACCAGTTGTTTCTTTATAGGCTATCCTGATCACTCTAAAGGTTTTAGGTTTTTCTGTCCTGGGCGTGGCACTAGAATCGTTGAGTCTATTAATGCGAAATTTCTCGAGCATGATGTTTGTGATTGTGATTGTTCATGTGGTAAGGAAACTGTATTGAAAGAGAATGAAGTCATTGTCCCAGTACCTGTTATACATGAAAAGGTGGTAAACCAACCTATTCATGAGGGGGAGAATCAAGGGAACAATGACGTAGATCCCATAGTTCCTGAACAAAATGTACACAATGAACCACTCCGCAGGTCACAAAGAGAAAGAAGGTCTGCCATCTCTGATGATTTTATCGTGTATGTGACTGAAAATCTTAGTGATACTGGAGAGCTGACTGATCCTTTATCATATGTTCAAGTTATTTCCTCTCCATTTGTGATAAATGGCGTGAGGCAATGAAAGATGAAATGTGGTCCATGGAACACAATGGAGTGTGGGAGATAGTTGAATTGCCCGAAGGTTTTAGACCTATTGGTTGCAAATAGGTGTTTAAAACTAAAAGAGACTCTAAGGGAAACATAGACCGTTATAAAGCAAGGTTGGTTGCTAAGGGTTACACTCAGAAAGAAGGTATTGATTATAAAGAAACATTTTCTCCTGTTTCATCCAAAGATGCATTTAGAATTGTGATGGCTCTTGTGGCTCATTTTGATTTAGAATTGCACCAGATGGATGTTAAAACTGCTTTCCTGAATGGGAGTCTACTTGAAGAAGTTTACATGGTTCAACCTGAAGGGTTTAAAGAAGCTGGTAAAGAACATCTAGTGTGCAAGCTTAACAAATTCATATATGGGCTTAAACAAGCCTCCAGACAGTGGTACTTGAAATTTGATGAAATTATTACAAAATTTGGATTTGTGGATAATAAGCTTGATGAATGTGTTTATCTCAAAATAGATAATGGCAATTTTATTATTATGGTTCTCCATGTTGATGAAATTTTGCTTGCCACAAAAGATTTGCGTTTGATGAATGAGACCAAACAATTTTTGTCTAGGTCTTTTGATATGAAAGATCTTGGTGAAGCCTCTTTTATTTTTGGGATAGAAATTAAAAGAGATAGGTCACGTGGTTTATTGGGTTTATCACAGCGTTCCTACATTGAGAGTGTTCTTAAAACTTTCAATATGCAAGACTGTAGACCCGGTATTGCACCTGTTGTAAAAGGAGACAAACTTAGCAAGGATCAATGTCCTAAAAATGAAGTTGAAATGAGAACTATGAAAGATGTGCCATATGCAAGTATTGTGATGAGATATCTACAACGCACCAAAGACTTCATGCTAGTATACAAAAAGGTTGATGATCTGGATCTTCTAGTATATTCAGATTCTGATTTTGCAGGTTGTCAAGACACTATGAAATCAACTTCTGGGTATATTTTTATGTTGGGTGGAGGTGCTATTTCTTGGAAAAGTGAGAAGCAAAGTATCACTGCTACATCTACAATGGAAGCTGAGTTTATTGCTTGTTTTGAGACTGCTTCACATGCTGTCTGGATGAAGAATTTTCTTACTAAATTGCAAATTGTGGATTTTATATCTAAGCCGGTGACTATTTTCTGTGACAATAGTGCAGCTGTGTTCTTCTCCAAGAATAACAAGAGAACAAGAGGCTCTAAGCATGTTAGCCTTAAGTTTCTTAAGGTTAGAGACATGGTAAAAGAAGGTGATATATGTATTGAGCATATTAGCATAGAATCTATGTTGGCTGATCCTTTGACTAAAGGTCTTAGGCCTGTAGTGTTTAATGAACATGCTAAAAATATGGGTATTTTAGAGTCTTTTGATGTGCTTTAGTCAGTGGGAGTTACTTTGTAATTGCTGATTGAGATATTGCTTTTGATAAATTCTATTTTTATGCAAGCTTGTGTTATTTGATATCTGTTATGCTTATGACTAACATGATAATTTATTTATTTTTATTTCCAATTGGACATTGCATAAACTCATGATATCTTTGAGTTTTGCTACTTGTTGCCTTGATTATCCCGGGTAAGGCACAAGGGAATCCTCCTGAGGTGATATGATTAAGTGTCACTTGGAGGCTCCTGAGGTGATACGGTTATAATATCACTTGGAGGATTATTTCTTTCTAAGAGGTGTGAATCTATTCACCTTGATTAGAAAGATAAAATGCTTAGCACACATGTTTGATCCATGTTGATGGAAATTCTAGCATATGTGGTCGTAGATAGAATTCATACCTTAAAATGGTGCGATGCCTGCTACGATTCATTGTTAGTCTTTTCTATTGAGACTGAATGGATTGTTATATGGGTCGTTCTATCCTTGGCTATGTGAGTAGTGTGGACACCGTAGAGTCTAAACTCCTTTTTCAAAATGATTTTCTTAAAAACTCAAATATTTAAAATTGTTTTCTTGTCCTCAATTAACGTTGGCGTCCAAGTGGGAGAATGTTGGAATTTGGACTTACGTTAATTGGTTATAGCCTGAAAGGATAGTGACGTGGCCCAAGTGGTGGATAAATAAAAGGCCTAATATTAAATATTGTGTGTGGATAAGTGAGGCCCAATAACTATTGGCCTGTGATGGGTAGGCACTCTTTATAAATAGAGGCCAACCCCCCTTTCCCTAGCTATCAAGAAAACCCTAGCGTATTCTGCCTCTTGAATACGTGGTAAAGATAGACGTCCCATCAGTCAATTTCTTCGGGCTGTGAGAGCGCGTAGCTAGTGGATTGTGGAAGTTGGTCTCAGGCTTAATCGCCGTTTGTTGTCCCTGCTGAATCCATGGAGTTTAACGGTACGCTTCTTTAGACTCTGACTCTAGATTGATTGTGTAATTGTGTCTTAATCTCTGCTATGGCTACGAATTAATTATCTTACATTACTTCCAGGTTGTTACAATCTCACCACTTCGGGGACAACGCCTACTTGAAAAGAATGGTGGATAAGTTCTTGAAATAACCGTATCAATCTAGGTTAGATCCCTACACAATAAAAACCATGACCGATGTCTATACGAGGGGTTTAAGCAGAACCACGGTCACTATGTACTTGGCATGACCGAGATCCCACGCAATGTATTCATTTTGTATAACGACCGGTACTTCTACCCCTAGGGAAGGGATGATAACCTACTGCATGACCCTATGGAAGATCAGGCATACCCCGCATTATTCTCGTATCGCTCATGCTAGATATATAAACAAAGCAGGACATGTTTCCCTTATTACGTACGCATATCGAAAATATTGGGACTCAGCCTCGATGTCCCAATGGGTGAGGTAAGCCCAGCTCGCAAGAAGTCTAGACACAGTAAATGGCGAAGCTAAATGCGGCTGCCAATCAAAAACCACTATTCGAGCACTAGGTGGAGCGAGTGACCCTACAACACCGCTCCCCCTTTCACCGGCTTGTCAGGCCGAGGTAACAGACAATTTCATTTTTGTTTATCTTCACTTTTTTGATTGGTTCAAAACAGGAATGCGAGCATTCGCATGGGTATGCAAGCAAGGGACCCACGCAACCAAAATGCCCCCGAAAATGGTTCCGTAGCATACCACCTCGCAAGAAATGACCGAGCAAAGCCCCCTAAACCACAGCATATCACAAATGACATAAATGGCTCGGTACAGAACAACTATAAAAAAAAGCACAACAACAATCTCCAGTAAAAGCAAAGTCAAACAAACTGGGACTCGCCCATAAAACATGTAACATTCTCCAATGAAAGCAAAACTGAGCGAACTGGGACTCACCCAGAAAACGCACAATATTCTCCAAATGAAAGCGAAATTAAGCGAACGATTGCCTCGACGCACGCATACACAACATGGCGACGAGTAATGTCCCCCAACTAAAACAAAGCAACTGGTTATAATTTCGACCTTGCTCGAAATAACACCCCTACGGCCATCGGCCTTCGCCAAGAGAGAAGTTCGACCTCGCTCGAACTCACAACGGGTTATAGTTTCGACCTTGCTCGAAATAACACCCCTACGGCCATCGGCCTTCACCAAGAGAGAAGTTCGACCTCGCTCGAACTCACAACGGGT